GGGAGGGAGAGGGGAGGTGGGAGAGTTGGGGTAGAAAAGGAGGAGAGGGAGTGGAGGGGTGGGAGAGGAGGGGAGGGAGAGGAGAGGGAGAGGAGGGGAGGGGTGGGAGAGGAGTTGTGGGAGAGGAGGAGTGGGGAACAGGAAGCTCTTTTCTTCATTCTGTTCAAAGGCATGTCCAGGATGGCATGCAGGTGGTGATGCGAGCGCCACGGAGCCGACTTCCTGTCACTGCCCAGCGCCAATTGCCACTCATGGCCAACATGTGAAATGCAGCAGGAGGCAAGAGTGACTGACCCTGCGTCCCACCTCCAGGGAGGAGGGACCTCTTAGGCCCACTGTGGTGTAGGCCGGGGACCTGGAACTCAAGCTGCCGCCAACGCTGAGCCTCTGCGAGGGCCACTCCATCGGCCATGCCAGAGTCCTGCACCTGACCGGGCACCGGCCTGGAGTCAGGAGGCTGAGTGGGACCGGGGCAGCTCTACCAGGAAGAACCCAACAAGTCCAGAGAATGACCGCTGACAGCCGTCCACAAGAGGTGCCACAGGCCCCTGAGAGGACAGAGAGCTTCCCAGGTCTGTGGATTCTCAGACCCGTGGACGGGAGGGAGGGTGCTTAGCTGCTGGGCTGCACCACCCGCACCCCAAACCTCCGAGGGAGGTCAGTGCCATGACCCATGGCCTCGGAGTAGTCACAATCGGCGGCACCTGGACAGGGACCCCTTGCGTGCCTTGTTTGGGAGCAATGGCCATCTGCTGCGGAGACAGTCTGCAGTGGTCTGGACACTGAGGTGGGAAGGGTGGACGGCCACCGACTGGCTTCTAGTCTGTCTTGGTGGGTTCTTCAGCAATTGCTCCTTCACGGAATCCATGGCTACCACCTGTTCTCAGAGGGCACTGTCGGGGTCTCTTGGATGCTCTTGGAAAAAGCTACTTGCCATTTATAACTTCTCAGCGTGGAAGTCGTGAAGCAGGACACTAACGAATTGAAGAAAATGAGTAGTGTCATTGTGTCCACGATTCTACAAAGATACTGGCCTACTTCAACAGTAAACCCACTCAGGGGGAAATTGCACGCAATGGTGATGGCTGGAGCCCCAGAGGCGCCGGGCACGGGTGGCCTTGCTGGCCTGCGCTTGGACGGCTCCCACGTCCTGAGAGGCAGGAGCAGGGCTCGGAGGGCCTGACCCCGTCTGCACCAGGAGTTTGGTTCTGTGCTTAGAGGATGTGCTAAGGGCTGCCAGGGAAGGTGAGGCATGTCCCACAGAGACACCGAGACTGCAGTCCACACTCTGGATGGCCTCAAGACGGTGAGGTTCTTGGGGCAGAAGTAGAGGGACTTGGAACCACCCTCTGAATCTCTAACAAGTGGCAGGAAAAAAGAATCAGACCCTCTAACTGCGGGAGGAAGCAGTCCTTTTGGGGACTCGCAGTCCAACGTGGAGCGGCCTGACCAGCACAGGGCTCAGGGGAGTGAATGCAGAGCTGCAGCCGCGGCCAGAACCTGGTCCCTGGGCGGTGAGTGTGCTGGACTCGCCTGCGGATCACCCCGGGAGGTCTGCCTGGAGGTCTGAAGGTGTCCTCTGGCGGGTTTGGTGTGGCAGCCACACCCTCAGAGCCATTCCTGAGGGACAGGAAACCAGAGGCTGGGAAAGCAGAGTGTGGGTCCTGCCTCCGGCCTCCATGGAGGAGGCCCTGGGTGGGCAGAGGCTGCCCTGCCCCGAGGGCTGCTCATGCCAAGCTCACCAGAAGAATCGGCGATGCCTCGACTTCCCGAGAGCTTTCCCCAGCCCAGGCCACCGTGAGGGGAGCAGGCTGCACTCCTCTAAGACCCAGGAGGCTCACCCACAGCAGACTAACACCCTTGGTGATCCACTGCGGGTTGATGACTCTGCTCGCTTCTGCCCATTTACTAGTATCTGTGAAGAAAATGACTAGGGGGTGTTAGTCGTTGGGTCCTCAGGTCCGAACGCCTCACCCTGCTGCGGAAGTCCACACAGAAGCAGCCTTTCCTGCCATTCTGGGCGCTGAACCCAGGCCTGGATACAGAGCTGCAGGCCCCGCGTGGCGCCTGGGGCTGGCCTTCCTCACCATCCGGCCTCCGCAGCGCCTCCGCCTGCGCCTTGGTGAGTCGAGAAGGGATCCCGAGGGTCTCCAGAGAAGCCTACTTCAGGTTCCTGTGGAGGGGGGTGCTACTTCACTGCCAGGAGCTTGGGATGGACGAAGGGCGCGCTCTGTGCTGTGCTTCGCTGCCTGTGAGCTCCGGAGCCGGGGGGCGCGTGGCAAAGCAGGGGGAGGCCACCTGAGGCCCAGCAGCAGCCTGAAGGAGAGTGATGGGCAAGACGCAGGCTGGGCTCGGACCTGGGGCCCTGGAGGCACCTCAGAGACACATCATCATGTGCCTACAGTTGGCACTCAGAGCATGCTGGGGACACGCCAGTGCCATCTGGTGCCAATGGTGAAATGCAAAGACTGATCATGTAGAGTTCTCTCACGTATCGAGTTACTGCCACGTAATGCGTTGTCCAGTGTCAGACACCGAATAGCTGCAGCTGACCCTGACCCCGGGAGCAGCAGGAGTGAGGGCTGAGGGAGACTCTGATGATCTCGGGAGCCAGCAGGCTTCTATAAAGGACATCGCTTCCAGCCTCGAAATACACAGGATCCCTTACAGCTAAAGTGAATATGGATCAGCTCATGCTTTAAAGTTGATAGCACTAACCCCTGAGTTTCTTATTGACTTAAAACTAGACACACTCCATTTTAAGGTGTTTTTGTCAAAGCTGAATTTTATAAAAGGTTTTGCCTTCCTTGGAGTTTTGTGGAGACGTCAGCGCACGGTTCTGACCCATGGTGCTGGAACATGTCCATTAACCAGCTCAGCCTGGGGCCAGAGACACCCGATTAACATGGTGGACACAGTGTCACAATCACCACTTTCAAGTCACCAGCAGATGCCAGCTGGCTCCACACCCTCCTGGAGTTCACCTGTCTGCCTTCCGAGGCGGGAAGAGACAGCTCCAGCACCATCCTCAGTGCCACCCTCAAAACTTGAGCTTCTCAAGTAAAAAACTGAGCACTAAAATAACACCCATCAATACATAAGCAAGTGAATGAAAAAGAAGAAACATAACTGGGCAACAGTATGTGCACAATGTGCACCACCATTAGCAACCAGGGAAATGCACATCCCACCTGCACTGAGGTTCCTCCCCCAGGCAGAGTGGCAGTCGGCAGGAATGCCAACAACATAACCGCTGGAGAGGACGTGGGGGAAGAGGAGCAGGTCACACTGCTGGTGGAGTGCAAATTAGTGCCACCACCTGGAAATCAGCACAGAGGCTCCTCCAAAGACCAGGCCTGGAACCACCCCCTGGCCCAGCTTCCCCTCTCCTGGTACTGACCTAGAGAGGCAACGTCGTCCTCCTACAGTGGTCTGTGCACACCGTGTTGACAGCAGCTCAACTCACAGGGGCCAGCCTCTGGAAGCAGCCCAGTGTCCATCACCAGAGGAATCAATAAAGGAAATGGGGTGTGTGCACACAGTGGAGGCTACTCAGCCATAAGAAAATGAGATCATCCATCTGGGGGACAATGAGTAGAACTGTGGACATCATGGTAA